AGCTTACAATGCCTTTTATGTTGAATACCATGAACCTATATACAGCTAATTGATAGTTACAAAATTACACTACTTGTTTTATGTCTAAGAATGCCAATCCCCATAGATCTATTTTTAAGGCTGTACGTGGTACAAATACACAACTGTGTAATTTCTAGCAGACTTTTCGAGAAATCACCTCATTAATATTTTCATAACTCACAGAATGGCTTGCTGTTAAACCCCAGCTCACGTTAAAGTAACATTTTACTCGTATAATTAAATTGAGGTGAATGGGACTTACCAGCTCTCCAGGAAGAAGTCAAGAGGAATGGCCAGAGGAGCCCTGAATCGTTTGAGTTTTATATGCTTTCTTGAACTTCCAGGAAGATGAGACAACCTTTGTGCGTGAGGTCTTAATTACTTTCCAAACAATTTTTCCCACATGTGTAACACTTATAATTACTATAATTATTCTAACATTGTTTACCGGCATTATTCAGTTTTCTGTGGTACATACTGTTATATGCTGTGGGGTTCCCTGCGTATTGTATTTTTACGGTCTAAGTTAATCCCTGATGTGATTCTACCATTTCTGTCTGTGTTTGCAGACAGTGAGCGATGTATTGCAGACATATTAGCAATATCTGCTGCTAGGTGCGGGATTTGAATTCATTTCCCTAAATGCACCATAGCATTCCGGTGGAGGCACCATGGGGTTCACGCCTGTAAGTAGCTTGGAGGAGGGAGGAGTGGGGAACAGACTTTTGCAGACTGTACCTATCCCGTTTTGTTCACAACGAAACTGATTCAGTTGTTTGCTTCCTGCCCTTTGTTTCACTGACTGTTCACAGCTTCAGCTGGAGGGTGTTATTCTGCTTGGGGAGCCCCAGTCCTACTCTAGGTGCCGACCAGCTGCTGAGTGTCTGGCTCCAGTCACCACGCATGATCAGAAGGCTAAGAAACACAACCTCTGAAGGATGCCCGCTTACTGGAAGAGGAGATTGGAAGGAGATAAGGTAATATTTTCTGCAGACAAAAGGTAGAGACCAAGGTAAAAGGATTTAACTGCCTCTTACACGCACAGAGGACAAGAGAAGTTGTCATGGGCTAAAAGTGCATCAAGGGAGACTTAAGTATGGGGAAAATTTTTTTATCGTGTGTCTACTGATGTACAGGAATTGCTGAATTTTGTGGAGCCTCACTGATTTCCCAAGGATTCAGGTGGATTCTCAGGGTTGAGCCATGTGTTCAACTCTCACAGGCTTAGGTGAAGCTGCCTATTAACCCATTTTGAAATGATTGCTTTTGAATGCAAACAGAAATGCACTGTTTAATGAAAATGCAAAATGCCTTGAGTTGTCAAGGCTCAAAAAAAGCTGTCCTGTTTATGAGAACAGCTAAGACATCTCCATCAAAAAATGCATATTCTAAAGTTGCTGTTAGCCCTGAGGTGTTTCTCTCAGATAACACGCTATTAATATTATAACGATAGAACACTTTGCATACATAAACCGGTAATGACTATTTTTGAAATGTTTTGACATTCCCTGTTGTGTGGAAACCTCACCTCGCTGGTCTCTAATTGCTGGGATTATTTTCCTTATCCTCTCACAAGACAACAAAAAGTTCACACAAAGTTATCCGAAAGACCAAGCCCCAAAATCATAGCTCACCATGGAGGCTAACCCCGTTGACCTCTGTTACTAGACATTGCTGGCAATTTACGTTAAAAATCATATTTCATATTCTTTGGCAATTTCAGGTAGCTTACGGATCTCTGCCTGTCCATGGCTCTTGTGCTGAGCACTCAAAACCGGACATGGGGGTCTGGATGTTGCCTCCTCGATGCCAGTTGGAGGGGAATCAATATCTGCTGCCGGCTATGCTCTGGCTCAGGCAGCCCAACCTGCAGTTGGCTATCACCGCCACAAGGATGCAGCACTGCCTCACGTCACCTTTTGGGCCACCAGGTCCTTTTTTTTTGCAGCACTCATGACCTCTCCAGGAGCAGATCCCAGCTACTAATCCATTTGATGAGGGACAGCAGGGTCTGCTGCCAGAGCAGGTAGTGGGAGGAGAGAGGGAACAAGAGAGTGTAAAAACCATCTTCAGGCAGAGAGCCACTGAAAGTTCAGACATCACTTAGTGGTTGCCTTGAGATGTCAGGTTTTACATTATCACATCAGTATAAACCCTTTATCAGGAGCAAAACCACATAAACAGAAGCTCGGATTTTTAAAAGGAAACCCTTTTCTGCTGCTCAGCCCCATCTCTGGCATGCTAACTGGAGGGGAGTCTTGATCCTTTCAGTACCAAAAGCAAGTGAGATCAGCAAAGCCTTTAAACCATGCAAGTGGGATAAATGCAGGTGGGAGACCTTCCCCTGGGCTGGGGCTTGTGCCTTAATTGTGAACCTCCATCTCCCTCTAATGGCTGCAGAATTCCAGGCCTCACAGCCTGTCCTGAGCATGCTGGTGCCGGGGATGTGCAAGGGTAGAGAGGAGCCAGGGTTTTAATAGACCTGATATAACAAAGGGACAGATCCCACCTGAGGGAGTCAGGAGGAAGCTACTTGCTCAGGCCTTTCCTCTCTTTTTCATTCCCCAGGGTTAGTGATTTACCAGAAATTAAAATGAATTCTCTCTCCCCATGGGGAGCAAGACTCCTACTCCTGGAGGGCTGCTGGTAGCATCAGTCGCTGTTTTTACAGGCAAATCTGTCACTTTATTAGAAAAATGACACTCTAGAAACCCTGTTTTTCTGTTGGGGTTGCTGCAGAGGAAACTAAGGAGGTAGGTGGTTTTGCTGCTGGGGTTTGCTCAGGGAGCTGGCAGAGCTGAGCAAGGCAGCAAAGCAGTGATGGGAGGAGTCACCAGGTCTCCCGGTGCACCTTTAGATGGTGGCAGAGAGCTTCTGCTTCCCCACTGCTGCCTCAGAAACACCTCCTGGGAGGTGTAGGGCAGGTGTGCAAAGACATGCACTTTGGGACTTTGCCCCCTACATATATATATGTATCTACTAGGAAACAATATTATTGACCAACTCTTCCCTGCTGTCTATGAAAATGTGGTTGTCAAGGAACAGCTGGAATTGGATTTAGTTTCCCCTCTGGTTGCAATTTTATAAGCACAGATGATTGATGCTGTTCACCTGTCCAATGCAGGCAGGGCCAGCTCAGGGTCACCGCCTCTGAAGAGACCTTCTGCGGCATCCTCTCGCCCTCCTGCTATGCCAGGGACTATCCCATGCAATCCCTTTGACAATCTGTTCAGCAGTGGTTTGTCCAAGGACAAAATTATGGAGCAGGGGACACACAGGGGAAGCTTGTCCTGGTCCCAGGGTGCAGGACTGAAAGCTCTTCTCTGTGCAAAGGGGGTGTGCTGCCCTCTGACACTGGTGTGTCTGAGCTGAGCCTGGATAGACAACAAATTCCTGTCTGAGGGAGTCAAATTTTAGTCAAACCTTCCTCCAAATACCACCCTGCGCTGCTGCTTTTACTATATCTCTGGGTAACTTTTCAACACCAAGATCTGTTCCTACAGATGGTAAATCTAGTCCTGAAAGTGTGATTACTGCCGTTATTTTACACAAAGGAGTGGTGTAACAATAGGGAATAGTTTTTTCCAGTAGTAGGTATTAGAAACTGTTTTTAAAAATGGAAAATAAATCAGACAGAGAGCAGGACTCCAGCTGCATCCTGAATTTAATATGACTGGTACAACCGGTGAATATAATTGATCCAGTAAGAGTAAAATACTCCCAGGGTGTGAACACTGTAGCAGAGTTTTATGGGTTTGATGTTAAAGCCTGAGCATCTGCTGAGAGTTACTTAACTTCTCACTAACATCTTTTCTGTTGCCAGAATAACTGCGGTGCTGTCAAAAAAGAAAGGCAAGGCACTCTATGAGTCTAACATGGATACAATAAGGGCTAAAATAAGGCCAAAGCTTCTCTGGGGGTTAGGAGCAGGGGGAGAAAAATAACCTCAGACCTCAGCTACATAGCTTGTTGTTTTCACTACTTCTTTATCTCCTTTACCACAGACATTTTGAAGCACAGCGGCTCTTCTTGGAGTGGCTTGAACGTTTCACTCCCCCTGCGTGATGCTGTGTCGAGTGCTGGGTGGCCCGTGGGTAGAGGCACTTGGACTTGCTTAGGTGTTGTGTCGACGAGCTCTTGTGCTTGGCTCCCTCCTGCTGCAGCGAGCATTTGGCTGCGTGCTGCTGGGAGGAGCACTCCTTTATTGCCTGCCCGGGGGGGCACTTGGGCACGTGCGGCTGCGGCAGGCACTTGCTCGCACACTGCTGCGAGGAGTAGGTGGTGATGCACTCCTGCGTCGGGTAGCCCTTCATGCACTTCTGCTGGGGGAACCCGCTCACATACTCATGCAGGAAAGATTGCGTTGTGCACTGCTGCGGGGGGCACTCGGTGACTCCCCGCAGCGGCTGGGAATAGCCGCTGGTCATCCCCTGCGGGGACCGGAGCTCTGCGCCGCAGCGCTGAGCCGAGCATTTGGATATCTTCTGTGGCCTGCATTCGTCCTTGCACGAGGACGAGTACTTGATCCCACATGGTGGGAACTTGAGTTTGGCTGGCTCTGGGCACCGGGGTGCGCATGGTGGGAGGCTCTTGGCCATACGCGCTTTGTCAGGGCATCTGGTCTCGCAGGGCTGGAAACTCTGCATCGTGTTCAGCTTCAGGCTGGGCTTCCTGCAGGGCAGAAGGCGAGTGGTCTCGCAAGGCTCAGGGTAGAGCACAACACACTTCTGTACGTAGGGCTGACAAGGCAGCAGAGATGTCTGGGTCACACTTGGCTGTGGGCACACGTAAGTGAAAGGTTGCGCGTAGCTTCGCCATCTTGGCATCGGGCTCTTGATCACGCTCACTGGGTGGCATGTGGTACTGCACGCATCGGACTGGGGCGTGCACTGCTGGATGCTTTCGGTGACACAGCCCGATCCCGGCAGGTACAGGTGTTTATACCGCTCCCCATAATAGTGCATGGTCATGCAAGGTGCTTATGCCTGAAAAGCAGGAAAAAGACAGACAGTTCACATAGGCATTGGCTGTGTTTTGTGATGTGGGGCTTGGAGTTTCCCCGAAGGCGTCTCAACCCAGCAAGCTCATGCCCTCGTGCTCCTGAAGGTCAGAGGCTCTCGGTGACTCAAGACCGGTCTGTGATTACCCAGGTGAGGAAAGGAAGGCCTGTTCTCAGCTTGTGCCCCCACACCCTTCTCTTAAGAGCCCAGAGACAATCAGGGATCTGAGCCAGGCAAACTGGGGAATTTTTATGCCACCCTTCAAAGACCAGATAAGTGTCTCAAAGAATTTCGCCAAGGAGAATTGACATTGTGACCCCCTGTCTTACTTCCCGGAGACCTCCTGGTCTCCATTGGGATGTCCTTTCAAGTTTGTCCTGCAACTCCCAAGCACCAGAAATGAAAGGCAAGCCAAAATTACAGGTGTGGCCGTGCTGTAATGCTCAGGCGTGGCTGCGGTTCGTGCAGGCAAACCCAAGCTGAGGTTAAATTAGCTAGCTGAGGGTAAGGACGGGTTTGTGGCAGCATGGAGCTCAGCACGTATGACCTGCCTGCCTGCCCGCCTGCCAGTTCACAGTCCCACAGAGGTCTGCTGGGCTGGCAGCATGCAATTACAGGCTCTGAGCTTGCTATCGTAGCATCAGCTTCACTGCCCCTGCAAGCCTTCCGGTCCCACTTTCATACTATTTTGTAGGCATCTTTAACAAAAGAAAAGAGTAAATACAACAGGATTGTTTCCAAGTATTTGGTGAAACCATAGCAGGAAAGGAGAAGTTATCGATGTGATATCTCAGCTGGTGTTAACTGGTCTATTTTCACAGAGTTGAGAGAATTACACCCATTTAAAGCAGCCTCCAGTTCTGCACTACAGTCATACCAAGCCATAGTGTCCTGGTTTTGTTATGGTAACCCAGACATCCACTGTCAAAATGCCTGGCATAGCAGCTCTGGAGGTGAAACCTCATCCTGGCAACCCCTGTACAAGCAGCCCAGAGGGGACCCCGAGACTGCATCCCTGGGGAAGGGACCCAGTGACGCCATCTGGAGGTCCACACTTTCCTCCTGAAACCACCATGAAATGCCTTGTTTTGCCTTGGCCCTGGGAGTTCTAGGAGAAACCATCCCACTTCATTCCCTGCTCTGGAAAACACCAGTTTCAGGGAGTTTTCTGAGTTTTTAACAGGATTAAAGCACAACAGGTACTGGAACCACTGACATGTGAAAAGTACTCTGATTGAAAATGGTTTTTTCATTCCAACATTATTTGGAGATTAAGGTATATAATTAAATGACTGTAAAGAAACTGCATTTTCTGAACACCCCTGGTTCAGTCTGTCATTGCAGTAAGGCTTTGTATCTTCCAAAAGCCTACCACCGGGTGACTACTAGCAATAACAGCGCTGTGTGTTGCTATCATTAGGAAGACCTATTATCATTATGATTATAATACTAATCAATTAATAAAAACATCCTCTTGAAAAACAATGATAGAAACAGCTACTACTACATGTACAATGCTAAAGTATTGGGTGATGCTCATCAGGATAAAAAGCTTCTAAAGTAGGGGGGATTATTTGCTTCCAGGGAGTTGTTTGCATCTCAGTCATTGTCATCATTGTCAGCCTAGATCAAAATTTTAACATGTTCAGAATTATCTACAGAGTCTCTCTGCTGACTTTCACATTGGCTTTGAAGTTGCTCAGCTTCTTACTATTATCTGAAAAGTTTCTTTTTTTAAGTTCCATAAAACAGCAGCAAAGTTCTCCACGCCACTTCCTTTAGAGGAGTTGCTTTTTCACGTGTAAGTTCATATCTGACTCCTGCCAGCAGCGAGCCCTTTATGTAGTCAATAGCCTCCTTTGGACTAGAACTAACAGAAAGCGCAGAAAAGCCCACAAATCCCACTCCAGACTTCACAGTCCATCTGGCAGTGCTTTCCCAATATTCTTCAGTTTAGCACAGAGGAGATGCTCCAGCTGTTATAGCCGCGCATGATGGTGCTGAAGGCAGCATCCCCCAGAGGATGCTTCTCCGCGAGTAAACAGGCAGGACCTCTGCCTGCTCGGGCCACCCAGGAATAAAACAGCATTTCAGGAGCTCCATTAAAAGCCAGACTTACCCACTTCATCAGTGAGAACAACCGGAGAGAAGTGCCTAGGAGAGCCCCGCGATGGCAGGGCTTTTATACAGTGAATAAGTGCCCTAGGGGAGTGAGGTGGTTTGTCTAGGTGATGCTCTAATTGCCCTGCCAGTCCTGGCCGAGCCACGTGCAGCTTTGTGCCGGCGAGAATGTCTGTCCTTGCTCTGCGGGGCTGCCATCACCACCCGGCAGTGCCGGGACCTCTGGCTTACCTGCGAGCTCTGTGGGGGAGAACCTCCTGATCCAACATGCTCAACCAGTGAAGCCCCTGGCAGGCCAAGGAAGCCCTGTGCTGGGGCTGCTCATGGCCCTCACGCTACGAATCCCCTTGCGCTCTGTCAAAGCATCCCAGCCTTCCCATTGCGAACCCAGGCCAGCTAAAACACAGCTTTCCACCCAGAAAAAGATTGTAGTTGAGACCACCAAAGGGACTGCTCAAGGGACTCCTCATTTCCATGGGAGCTGCATGTATAAGTCCTTTTTGTGCCTTTGAAAACACCGTCCAGGAAGGACGGGTGACTTTTTGCAGCCCATAATTACTGTGGCATGCAGACTTCCTTCACTCACACAGGGAACCCAGGGAAGAGACGGATGAGTGGGACTGAGAAAGCCTTGGGCTAAGGGCAAGATAGCTACTAAAAATGACTTGCCATGAAGAGAATAACCTGCTGAAAGAGGTGACGCTTTTCCGGCACAACAAAAGGGAGAAGGGACGAGCAGGAGCGCTGAGGCGGCCTGAGGAAAGGTGGCTGAATCAAACCAGGCTTCTGTCCTGAAAACACACATCACGTTTCCTGCTCTGCTGCACAGTCTCTGCACCAGTCATCCGCCTCTTTGTTCCCTGTTTATGCCACGAATAAACCCAAGGCAAAACTGACAGTGGCATGAGCATGAGTGCCGACAGGGAATGCATATTCACATAGTCATATCTGCCTGAGCGAAGGCCCTGGCATTTTTTTTTCCTTTGATGTGAATCTGACACCTATGAATGAGGTTCCAGCATGCTGGGAATTCAGGTGAGGTCCCACACATTGAAATAAAAAGAGGTGAAATAAGTTAACTTTTAATGTAGTAGGTGGAAAATTTCTCACTGATATGAAGCACCAGGGATGCTGCTGGGTTGCCATCCCTGGAGATATTTCAAAGACATGTGGACGTGGTGCTTAGGGACATGGTTTATTGGTGGACTTGTCAGTGTTACATTTATTGTTGGACTCAACAATCTTAAGGGTCTTTTCTAACCTAAATGACTCTATGATTTGAAAGCAGAATATTGATCTCTGGCTTATGAACCACAGAGTAAATTTTCTGTTTCTATTTTCACCAGAAAAATCCAGAAGCCTGGGGGTAGGTTTGCTATTTGCATTTCTGATTTTCCGACAAAAAAAGTCTCCCTTGGTATCATATTAAAAAACCCAGACAAAGTGCATGTTTTCCCAGTTGATGCCAACATTTTGAGAGCTACAAAAACTGAAAGGCAGAATGCGTTCTCTAGGTTTATCTTCTTTTCTGCAACTGAAGATAAAAGCACTGAATCCAACCTGGATTTCTCTAACTTTCATTGTGTTTTACTCCCCTGAACTACAACGCCCTTTTTAATGTTAAGTGATCTGACCCAAGATTTCAGGAAGCCAGCTGACGTCAGAGAGCAGGTAAACAGATTAATACAATTTTTATAAGCTACATAAATCCAGTTCCTGAGCAAGCTCCAGATCAAGTAGCCTTCAAGTAATGCTAATACTCAGTTTAGTGTTTCCAGTGCAGGTCGCAAAATATTAACCCGATGATAACATAGTGCTCTGTCATCCAAATGTTCTTAATTAGCATCTGTAAAGTCCTTTCATTGCAGAGGGACGCACAGTGCCACATGGGACATTGTTGTGGGGGTTATTATTATTCCCAATTAAGTGCAAGGGAAACTGAGGCACATTGCACTGCGGTCACTTGGCGGTGCAGCATGAGTCAGAGCCAGGGTCAGAACCAGACTCCGTCTCAACTGCCTCCCCCGTGCTCCGGTAGCCACTCTGCCTCTGCGAGATGAGTCCCACGCCACCTGGCCACCCACCACCCAGGAGGATTTCCCTAGCGATCCCCTGGGCTCTGGCTCCTATGGGAAAGCCACAACAATGTGATAGCTCCCCAGAAGGCCGCATCGTTGCTCATGTCTTGGTTTTAAAGGGGACACAAAATGTTGGGTTGTGAGAGCATCTGCAAGCTGGAAGGAGGGCCACGGTCACTGCTGCTGTCGCACGCTGGCTCTTCAGGCCAAAGCAGCATCACTGGACATTCGGGAGAAGATGTGAAAGGGATCTGCTCCCCCACGACCCACCGAGCGCCCTGGGGAAGCAGCCGAGTGCCACCTCAACGCTGCCAGGTGCTCAAATCTTGGACACCTCCATGCCTTCACAGGGCAGCCCGCGGTGGCACCCCAAGGTCATGGAGCAAGGGCGGAGCAGGGCAGGATGCGGGGCAGCGTCCCGGCCCGGGTCACACCCTCCTCTTCACCTTGCAACACTTGTTTTTGCCCTCCACATACGCATGATCTACTTAGCGTGAGCTACTACTCATTTTCTTAATGATAGGGCATATTACAGGATTTTTGTATTTTTCAGACAGGAGTTCACTGTATTTAATAAAGAAGAACCACCAGAGGGCAAAAACCCAAGATATTTAATCTGAGGTCAGACAACTATATTTATTTGAGTACATATATATATATATATGTGTTTGTGTGTGTGTGTGTGTTTGTAGTAGAAGTATACACAGAGAGACAGAGAGAGAGAGAGAGAGAGAGAGTTTATTTTCAGTACAGTGCAGAGTACACATCTTCAGGCAGCATAAAGAACATAGTTAATTGCTTTTATAGCTCAAAACATTTGTAAAATAGTCGTGCTACAAATTTCAGTGTTACTTCAAAGACTTTCATTTGTTTCAAGTTGTGTTTTCGATATTAATTAAAGCAACCAAGTAAATAAAAACTTGCATGTACAAAATTTCAGTTAAGGACCAACTTCACCAAACCAGAAATCCTGTCTTGTTTAGGGACTCCACTGAAGTCAGCGCAGAGTCAGTGTTTTAAAGCAGCGGGGATTTCTGGCCACCTTCCGAAATGAAGGCCATTGTGGTGAGATTCATATACCGTTTGCTTAGCAAATTTACATTTGGCTTCCAAACTGTGAGTGAAAACAGCTGTTTTGGAGCACTTGTGGAATCCAAGTTAACCTGAACACTGTCTCCCAAGACCAGGACTAAACCGGGAGCCGGGCATGGGCCAGCCATCCGCCGGCCACACTGCCAGTCCTCTCGATGCTGTTGAGATCTGGATTCCTTAGACGTTTCTATTTCTTTTTTTCTTTTTTTTTTTTTTAATTTTTTTTTTTGAATCACTATTCATTTCAACTAGGTGAGAATTAATATCATCCCACTAAACTATGCCTTGTAGCAGGTTAAGGCAGAAGCCACAGGCACCTGGAGTGCAGCTATGGAAACAGTTTCGTGCCCTGGCCCAAAATAGAGCTGAACTACAGGGGAAGTACCGGAACACAGAGATAAAACAGACTTAAGCGATAGGAACTACTTGGAAGGTGGTACAAGGAGATAAATAACCCCTGCCCCAAAGCTGTACCTCGCTCTTTTTCCGTGGACCTTCCTTTCCTCGGCTCCTTTTTACCAGGGCCATTTGGAGGCAGAGCAGTACTTTTTAGAGTGACTTGAAATTTTTACTCCACCTGACAGACATTGCTGTGGGACACACTTGGTGACACACTGCTGCTGTGGGACACACTTGGTGACACACTGCTGCTGCGGGACACACTTGGTCACACACTGCTGCTGCGGGACACACTTGGTGACACACTGCTGCTGTGGGACACACTTGGTCACACACTGCTGCTGCGGGACACACTTGGTCACACACTGCTGCTGCGGGACACACTTGGTGACACACTGCTGCTGTGGGACACACTTGGTCACACACTGCTGCTGCGGGACACACTTGGTGGCACACTGCTGCTGTGGGACACACTTGGTCACACTTGGGGGCACACTGCTGCGGTGGGACACACTTGGTGACACACTGCTGCTGCGGGACACACTTGGTGGCACACTGCTGCTGTGGGACACACTTGGTCACACACTGCTGCTGTGGGACACACTTGGTCACACACCTGGTTGCAGATTGCTGTGGGACGCATGTGGTGGCACACTGCTGCGGGGCACAAGCGTTCACAAACCGGTGTGAGACGTACTTGGTCGCACGCTGCTGGGGGACACACGTGGTGACACATCTGGTCGCACACTGCTGCTGCTGCGGGGTGTACGTGGTCACACACCGCTGCGGGATGCACTTGGTCGCACACTGCTGCTGTGGGATGCCCTTGGTCGGGTACGGCTGCTGTGGCACACACGTGGTCACACACCTGGTCGGGCACTGCTGCTGTGGGACGCCCTCAGTCACACACTGCTGCTGGGGGGCGCAGGAGGTCACGCACTTGGTGGCACACTGCTGCTGCGGCACACACTTGGTCACACAAGGCTGCTGCGACGCGCCCTTGGTTGCACACTGCTGCTGCGGCACACACATTGTCACACACCGAGTTACACATGGCTGCTGTAGGATGTGCTGGGTCACACGCTGCTGCAGCGGCACAGACTTGGTTGCATACTGCTGCCGCGGCATGCACTGGGTCACACACTGCTGTTGGGAGAAGCTGGAGGACATGATCCGCTGCCGGGGGACACAGGGGGTCACATACTGTGGGGTGCACAGTGTCGAGTGCCAGGTAGGCACTGGCGGGTGTCTTGCAGCGTACATTGGCGGGTACTTGATGGGGATGGGGTCCTGGTAGATCGGAGGGAGGCATTGCTGTAGGTAGCACGACATCTTGGTGAGGCTTTGGCAGGACTGGAATGACAGGTGAGGAAGCAGAGCTTTCAGACGGGCAGCCGGCTGAGTTTCTCACAGTCCTGCTGCTGCCCGTGCCGCAGGACTGGCTCGCTTCACAGGGTGCCGGAGAAACGACCCGCCTATGCCATGGGCTCAAAACCACACCAGAAGCAGCTGAGGACCTAACCCATCATTTTTAGCTCTGAAACATGGCCCTAAGTCAAGCAGTGGGGAAATACGGACACATTGCACTAAGTATCTCCCCAGACTGCAACTCTCTCCCCATCACCTGGACCTCCACGGGGGGGAATAGATCTTGGAGGTCGGCAGAGGAATGGCTGATCTCAGATCTCAGAGCTGCCTTTCAATCACTAAATCCAGTTTCCCCCCCCCTGCTTTTCATTGGCGACTGCCTCTGACCTCTTGCTGACGCGTTGAGAGAAAGGCCCAACCCAGGAACAAGCTCTGAACCTCTGGCCACATCTGCCATAGCAGGAGAGGTAAAGAGCACCCAAGACACCGCTGCTTGGTGATCCTGTCACACCATGGGCAGCAGAGAGTTCACAGCTCAGTCCCAGCATCGCATTCTCATTAGGGAACCAAAGACAATTAAAGGGCAGCGATACCACAACTGAACAAAGACCTGCTTACAGTTCCCCTAGCATTATGTTCCTGATACACCAAAGCTGCTCTGGCTGTTGCCAGGCACCCCCAAAAGCAAACAACAACAGCAGCACCCCAATTACTGCTAACAACCTTTCCTCACATTTTTCAGGAGTGTCTCTTGGACTCAGATGCCCAGACACTGAGAGCACACTCCCACTTCAACGCAGCAGTTCAAACCAACTAGTTTTCAAAACTTCTCCCACAGAGCACTTTTCATACATAAAAAAGCAGAAATAAATCTGCATTTCAGCAGCTACAGAGGCTTAGCACAAACCAGACTTACCCAGCTCCCTGGTGAGAACAGCTTTGTGATGTGACCAGTGAGCCCTAATAGAAGGAGAGCTTTTATATAGCTACTAAACGTGCCTTGAAGGTATGAGGTACCCACAACGTAGCCTATTAGCTCCTATGCAAAAGCTGCCCTGTGTGCAACACTCGTAGTGACTAGCATCAGTGTACTCATCCCTGAGGATGAGTAGTTGAATGTCAGCTCCCTATGGTAAGAGTAATTACCTTTTGTATAATCCTCCCTGGCATGGTAAGACTGAATGGTATTTGGAGAGGCAGCAGCAGTGGCACCCCCTGCCTCAGGGGTTTTGCAAGGCAGAAGTGAACCCAATAACATGCAATAATGGCTTTCCAGAGACTCACTGGAGCCAAGCATCACAGTCCCTGGAAGTGTCCTGGCGGTCCCCCAGAAATGGGGCTTTCCCATCACTTACCTTCCTTCTGCACACACATGGCATTGGCTTCATGCTGTGAGAGCTGCGCTGACAGCTCCATGTCCTTCTCTATCTTTAGTCCCTGGCAAGAGCTGGCAGAGCTTCTCAGCTGCCCTGAAGCACCCAGTAGCCAGGGTCAGTTGTGTGTGCAGGCTGGATACACAGCACTGGCTCCTCTGAGGAAAAAGAGGAGCTCCTAGTAAAATTCATATCACCCCTTGGGGCGGGTGCAGTTCATCATCCACAGAGAACTTCATTTTTAGCTCACATAGCTCTGGAGAGCACCTGGCTGTTGGTGTCCTGATGCTTCCGTGATCCCAACACAATCATCTGTTATCAGAGCGGTGGGAATACACCGTCCAGTGACTCTCAGATGAGCGGAAAAGATGAGCTACAGTCACGTTTGATTGCAGCCCTTGCACAACAAGCTCAGCTGTCAAGGCTGTGACTGACAGCACAACAGGCCACAAAAAACACCAGGAGCAGATAAACTTCCTCCAGTCCCACGAGTGACTTTCTCAGTGAGTCACCTTCTTACCGCATGCTGTGCCCAGATTAAAGAAACAAGTTCGAAAACTGAGAGATTAATTTTTTGAAGTCACTGAAGATCTAATCAATGCCTTCATGTGTACGTTGTCACATGAAATATCCCCCAAAATGGACTTTTGCTGACTACAAGAGAGCTGATGCGGACCAGCGCAGAGGAGTGCTTGGCCCCGCTGACATCTAGCACTGGCTGAGATGAAACCTACCCCAAGAGGACCGGTACCTGAATATGTTTATTTAAAAAAGTGGGTTTTTGTGAACAAGAGAACTAGCTCTGCCCAGGTGTTTTTTGAAGAAAAGAAAAATGTCCATAAATAAATTTGCAATGAAACTGAATAGTAAAGTTTAGGAACTCTTGGACAACTCTGCCTCACACAGAGCAAGAATCACAGAGAGTGAAATGTTCCCTTTACCACAGGCTTCTCCAACAAGAATGAATCCTGACCCTTGCTGGTCAGCACGCAGTGTGTTCATCTTTGCCTGAACCACAAGAAATGTGGCTTTGTTGTGGCATCTCTCCTGCAGAAATTGGTTCTTTGATCCGAAGCCATAACTCTTCATGGCTTTTTAGCTCCAAAGGTCGTAGGTGTGATCCTCCCCGTCAACCAAAGTGAGCAGTTCACATTTGTACCATTTTTACTCTAGTCTGGATGCAGGCACTGCCCCAACCTTCTAACAAATTCTTATTTCATCCCATACTTGACTGAAAGCCCACATGGACCTGCCTGACTTACTGAAAGCCCAAGCAAAGTTTTATTTCTTGATCACAACAATGACTGGTCTTTCATGTTAATACGCAGTAATGTCTGTAAGACTTTATATCTAAACCTTCTTAATCAGCACACTCCAAAACCATAGAATCAAAGAAATAAAGAAAAACCCCAGAAACCCAGTTAGGCTCCATTTTAACTTTGGCAACATGGGAACTTTGGAGACTTTCACTATGTAACACTTTAATGAGCGTTTCACTTTCACGTGAAAATGCCTGTCAAAAATGCGCGCTTCTGTTGTCATCATCTGTGCATATCCTGGTCGTAACCACCTTCTCCTCACAAGCCAGCCCTGCCCTGCAGTGGCTGTCAGCTCAGAAAATCTCCCATGCTTTTTTAACATGTCTGACTCAACCTGGAAAACAGCACGAGATGAAGGTGGGAAAAAGAAGTTAAAACAGGGCTGTGGCGCTGAGAAGAGGGAAGATGAAAAACATCCTGGAGGAGATGCCAGGTGAGACATTAGGGAATCCACCACCTTCCCTTTAATAAGTCAGGAATGCAAAGGAGCACCCTCACAGTGCAACAATTTTGGAGCGTGAGCCAATGCACCAGGAATGCAAAGCTCCCTGCCTGCTCCAAATATAGAAATTTGGCAGAAGAACAAGCCAGTCAAAAAAGAAGATAGAAGAAACAAGGTAAATTGGCTAGGTGTGCTCTGGGATATTGGATTGAAGCCTCAAGTGATGTAAAATTAGCTTTGCTCTGTTAACGGTAACACAAAAAATACCAATAAACTAGGCAAAGAGCTGTAAAGCAGGAGGGAGCTACAGCGGGGAGATGTTAAGCCTTAAAACTAGTGCGTAGTGGAAGACACTGCATGTGTTAGGCTACAATAGCAAAGCAGAGAAAGTGAGACCTCCTTTGAAGAAAGAGATCTGCCTTAGAGAAGTACCTGCATGGGGCTGGGATGGTCATTTCCTCCAGTCTCTCCAAGACAGAGCCACTTACTCCAGCCTTGCCAAGTGTCAAGGGTTGAGGCTGTGCCAGCCACTAACGAATGACAGATGCTCTCTATTAACCCCTCTCCCCTCCCAGAAGGGGAAGGGAGAGAGAATAAGGGAGAGAGACTTACAGGTTGGAATAGAAAACTACAACAGCTTTAATGAAACAATAACGATAAAAGAAAATATAATAATAAAAATAAGAAAATAATCAAATATATACAAATATATACAAAACCAATACACAGCCAATACCGAATGCAAACCCCCACCCCTTGATGATATGTCACCACTGACGCTGCGGGGCTGGCACTGGGGAAGTCCCAGGCTGGACTCGGCAGCAGACAGGAACCGGGTGCAGGAGCTGGATTCAGGCACTGGATTCAGGAATACATGGATCGGGATCAAAGGCAGAAGAACGGACAGAGTCCTCCTTGGATGTCGGCCATTGAAGAAGAGGGGCGTGACCCTCATGATCGCTCAGCTTTATACTGAATACAACATATATGGGATGGAATACTTTGCTGGCCAGTTTTGGGTCACCTGCCCAGTTCGCTCCTCCCTGCAGGTGCGACCTTTTTATGTGCGTGTGACCCTTTTCACTTCCAGGACCCCAACAAGGAGTACAAGATTTAGCAGTGACCTTGGTTGCTATAGGAGCAAGTATAAGCAAGAGCCTTTCTGCACACCACCCCTTGGTATGAACTATAGACATCAATCGTTATCACGACTAGAAGCAGCCACTGTCTGGAAAAACATGCTGTTGATTTCAGAAAGTGCAGTTACATAGAAAAGACTTAACTGGCAAGTAAAATCACTGAACAGAATTGGTTCTCTTTTAGCTCAAACCAGGACACCAAGGCATGGCCACGTCCTCCAGCCTTGCCAAGGCATTGACTTTTCCTCCAGTCCTGCCGAGAAATGTCCATTTCATCCAGCCTCACCATGGCACGGCCATTTCCTCCAGCCTTCCCAAAGTATGGACATTTTGTCCAGCCTCACAGAGTCATGGCCATGTCCTCCAGACTCACAAGGCACGGACATTTCCTCCAAGCTATACAAACCACTAGAGCGCAGCATTCACACACGCAACCACCTCCTGCACCAGCCTTGCAGAACCAGGTGCCCTCTGTCTCCAGGGAAATAGTTTAAACAGGCAGCCCAATGCCTTTGTGTCATAGGATCCTAATGTCTGAACGCTCCTTACGGTGCCAAAGCACGGGCATGAAGTTAAATCTGAGTTGCAAATGCTCCCTGCAGCCCAAGCACAGCCTCCCACTCCCACTGCTGTAAAAGCCCGTGCCTTATTCCGTGTGCTTCTGGGCATTGAGAACATACACTGGAACGGC